TTTGTTCAGCGACACTGCCCAGGACCTTACTACCAAATGTGAAGCTTCTGCCCTGATTTACCTTTCCAAAATGCAACACTTCACATTGAAAAAATTAAACTCCATCTGCCACTCCTTGGTCCAGCGCCCTTTTGATTATAATCTCGTTGTTCTCCAAGGTAAACTCCTTGCTAATCATAGAATCATAGATTCCGTGCAGTGTGGAAACAGGCCCTTTGGCCCAACAAGTCCGCACCAACCATCAGAGCATCCTTTGTGGTCCACAACACTTTCAATTTTGGTATCATCTGCAAACTTAGTAAACATATCTCCTATGTTCACGTCTAAGTCATTTATATAAATGATGAAAAGCAGTGGACCCAGCATCGATCCTTGTGCACACCACTGGTCACAGGCCTTCAGTTCGAAAAACAACCCTCCACCACCACCATCTGTCTCCTATCTTCAAGCCAATTTTATATCAAAATGGCTAGCTCTCGCTGGATTCCATGTGATTGAACCTTGCTAACCAGTCTACCCTGTGGAACCTGTCAAACACCTTGCTGAAGTCCAGAGAGACAACGTCCATCACTTTACCTTTATCAATCTTCTTTGTTACTACATCAAAGAGCTCAATCAAGTTCGTGAGACACAATTGCCCATACATAGAGCTATGTTGACTATCCCTAATCAGTCCTTGTTATTCCAAATACATGTAAGTCCTGTCTCTGAGAATTGGAGTGCAACCTAGTCAGAGACCAGGTAAAGAGAATGGGTTTCTTTTCTGAAAGGACCCTGGCGAACCAAGTGAGTTTTTATGAAAATCCAGAATTTTCATGGTCACTGGGATTGATGCCACCATTTTATTCCCAACTTGTTGAGTTAAATCAATTTATATTTCCCTGTGGCTCCATGGCTCAAAGATTGGTGGGAGTGGAATGGGTTTCAGTTCATGGGCACTGGGACCAGTACTGGGATAGGAGGGAGCAGTTCTGATAGGATAGGCTTCACCTGAACTGTGCTGCAACCAAAGTCCCAGTGAATCGAATAACAAGGGCTATAGAGAGAGCTTTACACTGATTAGACAGGGGAAGGGTTTGGAAGAGGTGAAATGCAGGTATAAAAAGCAAGAGGAAATGGCAGCATTACGGGCTTCCTCTTTGGATAACAATAGCCTGAGTGGGGCTGGAAGGGGCGGAATAGACAGACATAGAGAAACAGCAGTAAACGGGGCCATAGGGAGAAAAAATGGTAAAAGGGCAAAATTAATTCCTCTGGAATGCACGTAGTATTCAGAACAATTGAATGAACATCACAAATACGGGATAAGACCGTTGATTTTATAGTCATTATGGAGACAACAATTACAAGGAGATCAAAGCTGGGAACTAAATATTCAAGTGTGTGTGACTTTTCAAAAGGGTAAGCAGGAAGAAAAAGGTGGTGGGATAATAATGTTTTTACAGGATGGAATAAGCACAATAGCAAGAAATGACCTTGGGTCAGAAGATGTAGAATCCATACGAGCAAGAAATAAACACAGGTTGAAAACTCTGATAGGAGTAACTCTGATAGGTCCCATAGAAGTAGCTACATGGTGTGACAGAGAACATTAGGAGATACTGAGCACATGTAAAAAAGTACATTAATCATGGATGACTTTAATCATCATTAGAATGTGATGTGAGATTGGGAGAGATAGTCATGAAAAAGGATTCAGGGCAGTTTCCTCAAACAATATGTTATGGATCCAACCAGGCATCAGGGCTTTTTTTTAAGATCTGGTGATGTGTCATGAGGCAGGCTGAATAAATGATGGCAGAGTAAAATGTCCCCAAGGAAACTGTGACCATAATATCATAAAATGTAGCATTCTGTTTGACAAAGAGGAAGTTAGTTTGGAATCCGAAGTATTGAGCTTAAATAAGGATGATTACAAAGGAATGAAGGCAGAGTTGACTGGAGTGGACTGGGAAAGGAGTTTAGCAGCAAAGACAATTGAGGAAAAGTGATAGGCAGTGAAGAAAATAGTTCATGGGTCCAGCAAAGACATATCTCAATGAGAAATTGACTGATCATTGACTTCAGGAAGAAAAGAGGAGAACATGCCACAATCTGCAGCAACGGAGCTGAGGTTGAGAGGATGGAGAGCATCAAGTTCCTAGGAGTGGCTCAGTGGTTAGCACTGCTGCCTCGCAGCGCCAGGGACCTGGGTTCGATTCCACCCTCGGGCGACTGTCTGTGTGGAGTTTGCACATTCTCCCCGTGTCTGTGTGAGTTTCCTCCGGGTGCTCCGGTTCCCTCCCACAGTCCAAAGATGCGCAGGTTAGGGGGATTGGCAATGCTAAGTTGTCTATAGTGTTCAGGGATGTGTAGATTAGGTGGGTTATAGGGGGATAGCTCTGGGTGGGATGCCCTGAAGGTCGGTGTGGACTTGTTGGGCCAAAGGGCCTGTTTCCACACTCTCGGGATTCTATCAACCGATGACCTGTGCAGGGCTCCCCATTTAGATGCCACGGACAAAAAGGCACAACAACGCCTCTTCTTCCTCAGGTGGGTCAGGAAATTTGGCATGTCCATAAGGTCTATCACCAACTTTTGCAGATGTACCATTGAAAGCCTGGGTGCATAATGGTCTGTAATGGCAACCGCTCTGCCCAGGACTATAAGAAACTACAGAAGGTGGTGTGCACAGCCCAGACCATCACGGAAGCCAACCTTCCATCCATGGGCTCCATTTACACGGCTCGCTGCTGCAGAAAGGCTACCAACATCATCAAAGGGCCCTGTGCGACGTAACCTGTGGGCCTCTGTCTAAGTTCTTTTTGTCACTCTGTGATCGATATGTCCTTGTTTACTATGATCTACCTGTACTGCTTGTAAACAAAACTTTTCACTGCACTCAGGTACATGTAAAAATAAACCAATCAATCAATCAGAAAGGATTCTAGGAAAGAGAAGTTCAAGATCAAATCAAAGAAAATACATACAATGCAGCAAACATCAGGCCAGATGATTGGAAAAGTTTTGAAGTCCAACTAAAAATGGTTGATAAAAAATAAAGAGGGAGAAAATAAAACTTTCATGGTGAAATTGAAAGTCATACCATGATGGAGAGCAAAAGCTTCTCTAAATATATAAAACAGAGGGGATAGGCCAAAGCAAACATCGGGCCCTTAGAGAATGAGGATGGGGACAAAAAATTGAAGAACGAGGAAATAGCAGACAAGCTGAAGAAAAACTTTCCATCAGTCTTCACAGTGGAAGACATTATTAGCATCCAAAGTGACTAAATATTCAAGGAGTAAAAGGAAGAGAAGAAATAAATACAGTAAATATCATGAGAGGAAACTCATGGCACGAAAGGCTGATAAGTACCATGGATGTGATAGGATGCATCTTAGGATATTAAAAGAAGTCACAACGATAGAGGATGCACATCTTCCAGGAATTCTTTAATTCTGAAGATGTACAGAGAGTTGGAAAACTGTCAAAGAACGTTTTTGTTCAAAAAAGGCAGAGAGCAAAAAAACATATTATAGATCAGTTAACTGAACATTTGCTTTTGGGAAAACTTAGAGTCTATTATAAAGGACGTAAATCAGAGTATTTAGAAATACACAGTGTGACCAATCAGAATCAGCACGGCTTCATCAAGCAGGGATCATGCCTGACAAATGTACAGGAATTCTTTGAAGAGGTAACAGGCAGGATAGATAAAGGGGATGTAATATATAATATATTTGGATTTCCAGGAGGCATTTGATGAGGTAATATACAAAAGGCTATTTAACAAGTTAAGAGTCCATGTTGGAGGTCGTACATTAGCATGAATAGAAGATGTTGGGTCCATTGCTCCCCCTTCAAGAGGTTTGTACATCATATCCCAGTGAACACAGCACGTCTGTGTCCTCCCAGTAAGAAGGAAGAGAGCCTGGGTGACTGCGGTGATGTGGGAGTGAGGAGCATCCCAGAGCTGCTGTAAGGGCAGGAACACTGAGAACACACCACACATAATGACCAGCTTCTTACCCATAACCGAGAGGGAGTGTTCCTTTTACACGCTCTGTTTCACTTTGACAAGAGCGACTCATTCTCAGTTTTAGCACATACCCCGGTCTCTCGGAACAAAATTCCCTGCATCTTCAAGATGTCTCCCCTGACAGTGAAGGGGACAAGGACCTCTCAAGCCAGTTTCCAAAGAACATGGCCCTCACTCTTACTTTGATTTATGTCGGTTCCTGAGGCCAGTTTGAACTGGTCAGAGATATAAACCAGTCTTTACACTGACAGTGAATCCAAGCTGGAGACAGTGATGGTGTCTATGTGCAGGGAGATTTTCACCTCAGTGCCTCCACAGCCTGAGACCATCCCCCCTCACACTCCCCCATCCTGGGTGATGGGATTGAGGAAAAGGTCCAATACAACACACATGGAGGACAAGGGAGAGAGGGCAGCCCTGCCTGGTTGGGACAGCTTTCTGATTCCCACCCACTGATGGGAACTGGGTCACTG